GATTCTATGGTTCTATGATTCTATGATTACACTACGTGCATGGCACAAATCCTGTAAGATCTGCTTCTTGCTGCACAGCATATCTTTGCTTTGTCTGCTTCCTGAAGAGGATAATAACTTCAGGAGAAAAAAGAAATACTTCCTGAAGAAGGTCAGGAAATTTCTGGTTTGATATGACCCACCCATCAAGTGATGTATATGCACTGGCCATGATATATTATTATAATGCCTCATGCTGATTTCTGTATGTGATGAATGAATATCTGTAAACAGCCAGTGAGAAATGTCTGAGTGTTGGCAGACCAGAAAAGGAAGTCACCTTTGCTTTCTGCCACACGCATAACCCCTACATGTAATTATTTCTTGCATTGGTCGCTGTGGACAGCAATGAGGTATCATCTTGCCTAGCCAACTAAGTGGATTGAGAGAGAAAGAATATCACCCTGCACAAAGACCACTACCCCCCTGAAAGTGGGAGAAATAAATCTTTGTCTTCAGAAGATACTGCTTGAAAGATTGGTATTCCTTGGTATAATTCAATAGTGCCAGCGTATACCACAGGGGACAGAGTTTCTGCCTGAAAGCTATTCTCTAAATCTGCAGGATGTGGGAAACCAATAATGTGTGGGGTTTTTTTGCCACAAACCACAGCTGTAAAGAAACCTCTATTCTGTACTAGATATAAAGGTCCTTATCCCTAAGTGTATTTTCCATGAAATCACAGCCCAGTACTGGAAAAGGCCCAGCTGCTTGGTTGAATGCCTTCGGACCATCTCTGCCATCTTCCCTATGCAAACTAGCCCTAGATAAGGATGTTCTAAAAGCAGCTGAGTAACTAAGGTTTGTAATCTTTGAAATTAGTCTTTCCTGGAAACACACTGTGACATCCAAAGTATTGTACCATATTCTTTCTGAAATTATGGGCATAAGTGGCATCTCAAATGCATTACTGTCATTTAAGAGAAGTAAGAGAATGGCAACCATTAATCAGCAATTTTCATTTGCTATATTTCTTGTTGATGTATCTGAATTAATTTCTGAGAGAATCTATTTCCCAATCAGTAAAACTGTCTTATCTCTTCTATGTTGACTTGTTGCATGATAAAGGATCTTGCATTTGTACAGGGCATCTGAAGCCTCTGTTCAAGAGAGGACAAAAGACACTGAGCTTATTTGCTTCCATCTGTCACTTCTGGAGCTGCATTAAAAATGAACCAGAGCTTAAATGACTTCCCTGTATATAAAAGAAAATATTTGTAAAGCAGAGACCTGAAAGTCCAGGTGTTCTTTTACCAAACATCATAGTATGCATGTTAGTTACTAATTTTATACAGCTTTTGACCAATACATTCTCATTATTTTGAATGTAAAAAAAAAATGTATTAGATGTTATTTTTAAAGAATTAGAAGGCACATTTTCCTCCTTGTACTGTATCCAAATTGCTGCTGTTACTCTAAACCACAATTCATGTAGGTTATAGGCAGCCCATAAAACCATCTATTATTTTGCACTACCACAAATCAGTATAGTTTTGTAAGTGTGTAGATATCACACTGTTGGCTCCATATGAATTGAAAACTGTATTTTCTTGATTGATTTCATTGCCTTTCACTCACCTATTAAGAGAAGACAACCCAGTACTATAGATTTGATGTTTTGCATGCCACTAAAAACACTTGTAGTGGCTAAGAAACCTTTTCTGCACAATGGAGCTGGCCCTTGAGCATCGTGCTCACCCTGTGGTACTGAACCTGACCTGCATTGGACCCCGGACCATATTGAAGATGTCTGCCTCATAAGACATTGCAATGGATCCTCTTCTGTCATGTGATGGCTGTAGTGATTTCATTTACAAAGTAGTCTGAGCCTGGAGACCTCCTGTATTTCTGCTCTGATGAGGACACTCTAGTCATAGGTAAGGAGAGCTTCAGAGCAGCATAGAAATAAGAAAATGATCTGTGAACTGAGAGAATGGAAATTTGGTAGCTACAACAAAGAGAGACGTGAGACATCACAGGACAGAGCAAAACAGAACTATGATGTTGCCAGAGGAGTGGACAGGTATGTTTGTCTTTTGTATCTTTTATTACTTTTGGACATGGTCCATCTTGTTTATTGTGTGTATTGATGTCTGTTGGTTATGGAAAGGTGAAACACAAAGCAGCATATCCCAGTTCACACAGTGGTAACAGGGATGTGCTACTGCTTTTTGTAAGTGCAGTGAGATAGCTAGAGACCGTCCAACCCAAAGACCAGGGAACAAAGACTCATTTAGTCTGCAAAGACTATTCTTTGCTGAAATGTAAGTCTACATTCCTGTACTTACTGAAGCAGTGTTCCTTGCAGAGCTCTACAATGCACTACAGCCTGAAAAACAAGGTGTTCAAGTTCAGGTCTAGGCCTCTTGCATGCTGTAATAGTGTGTGCCACAGAGAAGCAGGGACTACACAAATGGTTGTTTGATCATTTGTGTAGGATCTGCCTTATGGCAGTGCAGGATAGGGTTTTTTCACTCTTTCTAACCATTGATCTTTGTTAGAGAGACAAAGCGTGCTGGGATTGTTTTCATCAGCTTTTGTTTGTTCCTGCGAACAACAAAAGGGAACTGTTGGGAGCTCTATTCAGTGTTGGCAGTGAAGATCCCACTTTTTCTTTCCCATTGTCTTCCTCAATTTGCCAGCTAGTAACAGAGCATATAGAGAACTGCCCTCTGCCTTCTCACACAAGTGTCCTGACACATTTTGGTAAGCCTGCACCCAGGAGCATATTCAATCTGTTATTAACTTCATATAGATAGTATAGTTTGTTGCTGAATTATAGCTAAAACAGCCCTAGAAAAGCTATTTTAATTGTAAGAAAATAAATTAAAATCCTGTCTCACGAATCTAATTCTCAAATGTTGCTAGGGAAACGGAAGGCTGGACAGAGCAGCAGTAACTGAAATGTGTCTGTTTGACTTCAAGGATTACTGCACCCATGAGGTTACCTGCATCCTTACTTGTTGGACACCCCAAGACTCTTCTCCCCTGATTTTCTATTGCCATTTTGCCTCCTTTCCAAGGAGACAAATGGCTTGGTCCTTCTGCAACCCCTCCCTGCCACTGAGGAGCAGCAGTGAACAAGGGCTAGTAAGACAGACCCACCTCAAGGGGCTTGCCAGAGTTAATCCGTGGGTGGTTCTGACGCGCTCCAAGTGCCACGTAGGACTGTGAGCTGTGCAAGTGTTCTAGCTCAGCTCTTTGCAGCTCCCCCTCCTTTCGGTTTTGGGTTGGTTTTTTTTTCCCCCCCCTTTACTAGCGAGGAAGCCCTTCAATTGGATGGGCAGCAGAGCCAGCCCAGGGCTCAGGAGGAACAATGACCAAAGAACAGTCTGCAGCTTGTAAACCAAAACCTCCCCAGGGGCTGCTGCTAAAAGGAGATTAGAGAGAATTCCTACGCCAATTGGCATCTGGATTTCCCCCCACCCCCCCTTGCAGCCACTAAATTTCTGGCCTGTCTATCAGCATGGTAGTGTAGCCATAATGCATTTATTTGCTCCCTCCTTGGGCTGGAGGGAAGCATGGGCACGGAGAGTTGTACAGGGCACATTAACACAGTAGTGCTGCAGGACCGATCAGAGCTGCACCTTTCATCATCACACCAATGAGCGGTCAAGGAGCCCTAGAGAGATGAAAGGGATAAAGCTAAGCGTTGAGGAGTGCCTTTATCAGAGCATGTGTGCCCCAGCCAAAATGTCATACAGGTTGGCAGGCTCCCTCCACAGATCCACCCTTGCTAACCTCTAGCCAGCTGGTGGTAGTGCAGGGAAGGTTGTTTACAGTTTATTAAGATGTTTGAGATTACATGTTACGGCAGCCTCATGTGGGCTATATGGAAGTAGCCACTATGGTAAAGGGCTTGATGGAAAAGCTGAATTCTGAGCTGACCATGGAGAGCCCTGGTCACAAGCAATTAACCAGCTAGGTGTCATTTTACACTCAATTGCTAGGGACCAGGAATTGGGAGGGGACAGGGAGGAACCTCTGTGGTCTCTAAAACGTGACTTTAAGTAGTTGTGGTTTGGAGAGTCAGAGAGGCAGCCTCTGAGTTTCATGTGGCATGCAAGCACAAAAGATGATTACCTTCGGGAGTATCTATGGCTGAAAAAGCCCTTACTTTTAAAAGATTTCTTGCCTGGGCAACATCTCTGAGCTTTTCATGAGCATCTGCAATGTTCATGGTAAATCGGGAGGAGGGGTGTGTTATTTACCTGTGTGTACAAGTCTGTACTGGCTGACCATATATATTCAAATGGACATAGGACATTTGTCAGCTGTGGCAACTGCACTGCCCTGGTTATTTAAACAGTACTCTTAGAAGCATTTTACATTTGAGGGGAGTTTTATATGAATCTATCAAAAGCAGATGCCAGACGTGATATACATGTCTGAAGGACTAGGGCGGGACAGGGCACATATAGACCAGGCACGGTTTGAGAGTACCAAGGAATTTCCATTTTGGGGCTCTCTGGCTGACCTAAATTCTGTCTGTTCCTTTGAAGAGACATTTTGGAAAGAGGAAAGATTTTTAAAATGACTGAGTATGCCACAGCAGTAGCAGTTTAAAAACAGCAAACCATCTAACCCTCCAACAAACAACTTGCTTGTGAAAAAAAAGAGCATCTCCCCCCCAAATATTTATTTTTTACAATGTTTTTGAGATTACTATTTTTTAAGTCTTGGCAGGTGAGGCCTGGGCCACATCCAGGTCATCGTGCAGAACAGGTGCAGAACACCCCAAAGCACGTCACAAACCACAACAGACAAGAGGTCCTCAGGGTGTACCAGGTCACAAATGAATGGGCCCAATATTCAGGTACCCACAGATAATTGCTCCTGCCCTGACCCAGAAACCATCTCTCAGAAACTCCAGGAAGGGAAAAGAGCTGAATGGAGACAGGAGTCCCTCTGAAAACGGATTCAGCACCCTCTTTCCTTGTATTTGCCCACCCTCAGCAGGCTGGCTGGGAGCCTTGCAGTTTGCATTTAGAAACCAATAGCCAGGATCTGCCAACTGAACTTACAGGTTTGGCAGACAGAGAGTTTCAGTTGCAGGACTCCTGGATCACAGCTCTGAGGAACAAAAGTCTAAGCGTATCTCTGAGCATTTCTTCTCTCAGCAGCTTCCCTTCTTGGTGCATTTTCTTTCACTAAAGAAAATTTCAGGGTTTCCTCTTACAGGGGAAACGTTTAATTCTTCAGGCCAGTGGGGAGGTCCTAAGATAGCTAAAGCTAGAATAGAAAACATCACCCCATTTCCATTCCCCCTTTCACCTGCTCTCTCTCATTCCCTCGCTTTCCCAGCTCAACCACCCAGCATTCAAATACACAGCAGTTCCTCCACCCTTGTCCTTCTCTTCCGCACCAACTGTCCAGCCATTTTGGAGAGTGTGGCCTTCGTGTCACCAAACTCCCAGAAGGAACATGACACTGCCAACAAGACCAAGAAATGTTCCAGAAGAGATCCCCAAGGGCTGCCAGACCCTAAGCCACAGGGTTTGGCACTCGGCCCTCAGCATGTGTAGTCTCTGACCCCCAGTTCCTTTTGTGTTAGCCTGGGAGCAGGAGAGTGGGTGCTGACAGTTTCTCTCTTGGCTTTGGGTGGGCCAGGGTGCCTTTCAGCTGCACTTGCAGGATTTCACCACCATGTTGGAGAGCTGCTCCACTTTGGGGGTCCTCCCGACATAGTACAAGATAGTGAGCGGCTCCAGGTCCTGGGGGACACAGCAGGGCGAAGCGGATGCCTCAGGGTTCAGCGTGTTGTATAAGCCCAGCACCTGCAGAAACAAAGTAAATGTGGTGACAAAGTCAGGAATACATTTAAGTTGGTTGAGGACAGGAAGGGACTGCAAAGCCAACAGGTCTCTAGGTCTTTGGACTATGCTCATCAGAGGGTATTTCCCTGAGGCGAGTAATACTCCCCTGTCACTTCCTGATCATGGCCTGCTTCTAAAGGGTCTCACCTGCCCTGGCCTGACTCTTAAGACTTTTTTTTTTTTTTTATTGTAGTAGCCTTGCTCTGTGGCTGATGCCTAAGGGTTGAAGGAGTGCAAGCAGTTGTCTCCTTTCATCTCTAATTTGGTATGGTGGATAGTGTCACAATTTTTGCTTTTAACAAGGCTGGGTGTAACCAGCCTGGGGCCATGTTGTCTTGGGTTCCATTAAAGAAACCAGAAGAAAGAACATCAGTGCTGTTTATTTCAACCAACATCTCTAGATAGCAATGGATGGATGCCAGTCCTCTTAAGTATCCACAATTCCTTCCCAGCTTTGAACTGTCTGATGCTTTCTCCCTCCACGCCATCCTCCAAGTCATTACATTGTAATGCTGGAGCCAGGAGAGTGTCCTGTGGGACTCCACTGGATTCCTCCTCCCAGCTGGCCCCAGCCCACAGATGACTGTACACTTCAGCCACGTAACTGCTATAGAACAGTTGCCATGTTTCTTGCCAGAGGTGGCCGCGTCTCAGCGGTAAGCAACTTCTTGAGTTGTGGGGCCAAAACGTGATCTCACCTGCACTACTGTGGTCTCATTAGTGCTTGTCTGGTATAAACGACAGGGTCTGGCACATTGTCTTTTAACTACTTTAAAGTCTTTGGGGATGAGAGGTGCTAGGGAAACATCCTGTTCTATCATCCAGATCCATGTAATCGCAGTCTTTCTGGTAGAAGCTCTCTGGGATACTGAGCAAAGTACCCCTGGCTGTACCACAGGGGTACCACGTGCTCTGGCGCCGCTCTATTCAACAGAGACAGTAGGTTAAACAGACTGGTGAGAAATCTTCTTTTCCCCATGTTTTTCCTAGGTGGTGCCGGCAAGCTGTCAGCAGCTATATTGTTCTAAAGGCTTCTTGGATCACTCAGCTGACCTTAATGCTTGATCATTTCCTTTCTTGCTCAAGAAAAGAGCATTAGGAACCATTCTAAAATCTCCTTTCTCTCACACTGATTCAGTCCAGTTACCTACTAGAGAGCTTCTCAGGACAACCAGATGGTAAAGCTACATGCCCATTACCCTTTCAAAGCTGTTCATTCCCTTGCCCTGTCTTGCGCTTAATGCCCAGCATCTGTTCACTCCTTCATTCCCATAGATCGACTGTTCCCACTGATATTAGTCCTTGAGCTTCAGTGAGCCTTGCTGCTGTGCAGACTCTCAAGCTGTCAAGAAAATGTTAGCATCTTTTCTGCAATATCATCTTTACCTTGTTATCTATTCTTCAGCCAAATCTGCTTTCTCCAGTAACATTTTTAGTGAAACCTGAAGCTAAGTTGCTAATGAGCCGTTGCATTGTCTGGATTGCCGCCTTTTCTCTTCTGTGGACGGAAGCACAGGATTTTCCTCTGGCTTTTCTTGCTTCAGTGGTGGACTGCCTGGTCCTTAGTCTGTCTTCTCCCCTTGGTACTTCTCCCGTGCCTGTGCTTTTCAGTTGCTTTTATTTTCTTCCACTCTAGACAGTAGCCAGGTTCAGGTGGTATTCTTCCCAAAGACTGCTTAGTGTACTCATGTTAAACAGAGGTTATGCATAAGTTGCCTAAAGACATTTGCTTTCTGCCAGTTTTTACTCATGAATCTCACTGCCTAGTAGGTTCCTCCCTGCCATAGGTCAGGTGGGATTTATACAGCTGGAAAGGATGCCTGTGCAGAAAGGAGAGCTTACTGCATGGCTGTGTTCACTTCTGGACATGGACACGGATTTCCCTTCACTTTTGGGCTACAGCTGCCCCTGTGGTAGCAGATGGCAGCTCCGTGCCAGGGCACAAGTTTTGCCTGACAACCTGGCACAGAGAGTAGAAAAATCCTCTGTGCAATGCAAACTGCAGGAGAAATTTAGGCAGAAGATAATTACCAGAGTTAACATTTGATGTGAACAATTCAGTTAATACTCTGGCCATTACCAAGTAAGTACCCTAAAACCATCAGTCCTGGTGTTTCACATCTTATCCAAGAGACGGCAACATCCTCCTCCTCAACATTTGGCTGGAAGCATGGACTCAGTATTGATTCCAAAGGAAGCACATAGACTCTCTTCTGCAGTCTCCTTGGACAGTTTTTTACAAGTATTGATCTGAACTGCTTTTGCTGCTTTGAAGAGACCAGATACGATCAGACTTAGGGAGGAAGGGGGAGTCACAGCCACAAGCCCTGACAGGATAATATGCTGGATGTACCGTGCTGTGAGTGGTGTCTGCGCTGCGGAGGTACGGACAGGGGCCCGAACAAAAGTTAGCAAAGTAGCCCTTAGGCTCATGGACCCATTTCCAGCCAAGGTCTTGTCGGAAGTCGATGTACAGAGGACGCACGCAGCAGTTCTCCTCCAGGTTCCTGAAACACAGTATCAAAACACAGTGAATCTAAAGAGGAGCCTTATACGCGAGTGCGTGATGCAGCTTCCTGAGCAGGACTAGTACCAGCGGTGCCCAGTGGGACATGGTGTTTGCCTGCACCAAGTGCAGAGGAGTGGCAGAGACGGGCAGCTCAGCAGCCTGGCACTACTTGTGCCTGCCGGCAGGCGGCTTGACCACTAGCGCAGCGAGGCATAACCCAGCTGCTCTCCGGCACCTGGAGCTAGCAGGGGGCTGCCGCGCGTCCCTGCCCGGGCTGTGCTCCAGGAAGCCGCTTGCAAGTCTCCCTCTAGCCAGTAGCTCAGCCAGAAGCACAGAGTGACTCTGCTGAGCTGGCCAGTGTCCCCGTCCTGGACACCATGAGGAGCAGCTGGCTGAGCTGTGCTCCTCATGTGGCCTCTGTGGCACCATGGTGACCCACAAGCCCCTTGGAGGGCTCTGCCTTTCCTGGTGGCATGGAGTCTCACCAGGCTTGCCCACTCCAGGCAGGATTCTCACTTACCGGAAACAGTAGTTGGTATCTAGGGCCCGTTTCTTTCTCTGGCCTCCCAATGCTGGGCCCTCCAGCCGATGTGGGGGTAACATCATCAAGATGAGGTGGGGATTATGCAAGTCTTTCTGCTTCTTCAGGCGCCCCAGGTCTCCACGGCCATAGTCATCCTCACTGTCAATGCCTTCAGAGAAAAACAGGATCCGCAAAAGAGAAGTCAGTGTGGAAGTGGAGGATGCAACAAGACTTTTCAGTGCATTTAACACTCTCATGCCTGCCCTTGAACCAGGGTGAAAGGGATTCAGGCACCACGTCCACTTTGGGACTTCTTCCCTCACAGGGACCCCTTTACTCCTGGTGAATCTGACTGCTGCAGGCCTGAAATAGAGGCTTACAGGCCACCTGTTTTACCATTTGCAAACTCCTGGTGGGGCCATTAATCCATCCCACTTACTCCTGGGTTTGATCCCAGGACAGGCAGGAAGATGAATGGTTTAAAGAAGATGTCAGATCATTGGCACTCTGCAGAACAGACTCAGAAATGGAGCCTGTGGGGGCCAGTGGCTGCAGCCCAGGGCTGCAAGCCAGGAGGTTCCTAGTTCTTAGGCCAGCCAAGCCACTGACTCTCTGGGCCACTTCACACGGGATGCCTGACTTCCTTGTGTTTCAGTCACCCCAACTGGAAAGCAGAGCCTCCGTGGAAATCTGAGAAGGCATCAAGCTGAACTTCCCAGAGAGACATTGAAATACAAAATTATTGCTCATGCAAACCCACCCAGCCTGCTCTTTCTTTCTCCCATTTCTAACCTATGTACAAAATGGATATACCCGTATAATCAACATGCAAACCCAGACGTGTATGCTTAAAGACAAATGTTACGCAACGTAAAATGCTCAAATATGCAAAGCAAGACCTCGTTTTTTCTTTAGATACTCCAGGCTTTCCCTTCCCAACAGCCTCCCCTAACCCAGCTCTTTATCACCTTTGAACTTGATCTCCAAGACCTCGTGCAAATTCTCCAAGATGTCCCCGTTGGGCTGAAAAGTATGGCAAGGGCAGTGTATGCTAATTTCCAGGCCAAGATTGGACTCTGCAAAGGAGGAGATGACTCTGTAAGAAACAGTCTTCCTCAGCTGGGACAGCTCCTGGCGCAGGGAAGTTTCACTGAGGACATGTATTGTGGTAACTCCTAGACTGTGGGTTGGTCTCAAAGTCAGGGATGCTATCAGAGTTGGGGAACAGAAGCTGCCTTGGAAAGGAGAATGGGAAGCAGAATCTTGTGCCAAAAGCCTTGCTCTTGCTAAAGGGAGCCTCCTGGGCAGATGAGAAGGGTGCTCCTGGTTACGGTTTTTAGGCTATTCAACATCCAAAAGCATTTGTGAGCTTCAAGGAGCTCCACTGGAAAACAAGTACTTTGAAGAGCTGGCTTGCGGTGTCTGTATTAAATCAGTTTTGCCATCCTCAGTACCTGTCTACTATCTGGCTTCTGGTTAGTGTCTGAAGGAGAGACCTGAAAATGAGTTGAGCTGGATATGGACAAGTAATTTCACTGGAAGCATTTTTCTCAGCAGCTGCAACCTCCTGTTTTGTTGAACTGCTAGCGGTCTAAGTCACACAGACTTTCCAGAGGCAAGTCTATTTTCATAATAACTTCCTGGACCAGTCATGCTGTGTGGGCCTGACTAAGGGAACATAAGACTCTTATGAAAGCTCCTTTTTTATGTTGTGTCATGAACTAAACCATCTGGCTCCCCAGGGCATTGACAAGGTGCCTAGCACCTTTTTTCCTAAGCACTGCATGCTCTGTGATGTCTTGTCAGCTAGTGTGCCTGCCCGGAGCTCGCTGCAGTTCCAGCCCTGAACTCCAGCCATCAGGACACAACTTAGACTGCTTGAAAAAGGAGGAGTCTACAAGCTCACAGCTCACCCTTCCAGGGAGAGGCTGCTTGCCAGTACCTGCATTCCAGTTTTCAGTGGCACCTAGCTTCTATCTGTGAGGCCAATCCAGCTGTGAGTCACGGTGCCTATGCTCCAGCTGTGAATGGGGTCAGTGTTCTTGCTGGGAACTGCCCCATAACTATCTGCTGGGCTGCTCAGTGGTGGCAGAGGTATGTTCTCTGCAGTGCTAAAGCCTCCAGTTGTCTAGCTGTGTCAGCCTCCGGTATTTCCTCACCTTTATACCTGCCAAGCTGTAAACAGCTAAAGAAACCAGGATCCTTGCTGTTTTTTCCCTAGTAGATTTGCTCTAGTCCCCATGAAAATTAAACCGGAGTAATCCTAATTGTCTATGTATTACAGGCTATAGTTTAGACAAGCAGAGGAGAGCCCTGCTTGGAATTGAAGAACCAAAAGAAGTTCCAGCATCTCTCAGTGAAAACAATTTCCTCCTCCAGAGGATGAATCCTCATTCTGACTCAACCCACAGAGCCACACAGTGGGGACTCCAGGACAGAGCTAGGAATCTAGCAAACGTCACGCACTGAGGTAGCTCTCTGGGGAAAAGCTTGTTCTCAGACTGAAAGAACCTGTCCTCTATGTGAGCCAAGCTCCTGCAAAAAGGGGAGCAGAGAGATACTCCTGTCAACGTTGATCCACATTTATATGGATGCCTTGACACCCGGTCCAGCTAAGACCCCTACCTCTGTGCAGAAGCCACTCACGCACAGTCTCGGTGACATCGAAGGACAGCCACTCAGGGGAGCCCCGTGTCTGCACATTCCTGCCACTGAGGTAGCGCTGCTTTGCTATGTGCTCATCCGGCTGAAGGATCTGCGTCAGAAGGAGTGGTAGAGAGAATCAGCCAGTGCCGCGCATAAGGAAGGGAAAGCCTTGGGTTTTTTTTCTTCCACCGCTTGCTAAAAACTAATTCAGAAGGTTGGTTCTGGCAAGTGAGACACCAGGAATACCCTGGCACAGGTGAGAAGGACATGCTTCACAACCAGCCTGAACTCCAGAGATCTACACAACGCTTATTTCTGTGTCCTAAGCAGCCCACCTCTCTCAATTCATTCTTGTTTTGGGGCACATATCCAGAGGCAGAAGCACACTGCAATTGATCTAATGGATGGTTTTTTTTCTGTATACACCTGTGGGATGTGGGTCTGGATTTCAGAGCAGAACCAGCAGTGAGCGATAGAGCATCCTGCCACAGGTCCCTTGCCCAACAAGCCTACTGAGTTCTACACTATGGTGTTTTCATGTGTCCTACACTCTTAAACTTCTATCAAAACACACCAGGGCTGATCAGGTTTGGAAACCTTTCCCCCTGCTCTGACATCTCTTCCCACTTCCAGACAAACAGCCACAGCCTGTGCAAGGTGTTCCTTCCTGCAGGACCCCAGGTTTACTCCACAGAGCACTGAACCTATGGAGAAGCTCTGGGATTGCCTCCTTGTCAGCTCTGTCACCTGGTGAAGAATTGCTCTGACCTTTGAAGCTGAATTCCAGGAAGTCCTCAAGAGCTACCAACCCCACGGCAATTTTAGCTGCACTCTTACTACAAAGTGGACAGACACCAGCCTGTGGGAATGTGCCGCCTGGATGCTAAACTATACCATTAGCTGGGTGGTCCAGCTCAGCTTAAGACCACTTCCAAACCTGAACCAGACCTTATTCTGCCAGGGGAACCAAACTCCAGATAAGTACCTGAATTAACGGTGCCATGAATTGTGCCTCTGAGGAGCTGCTGCTGAAGGGAACACTGAAAGCAAGCATTATTTTTCCAGTAAATCAGTGACAAGACAGAGAGCTCCACCCGTTGGATTAGCACCAACTGTACTGCGACAGTCAAAGGAACAAAACTGCCAAGAGACCTAGGCATGCAGATGTGACAGAAGGGTCAGGGCTGCTCCACTGGTGAGGGGCTCCCCTTCCAACCCACTTCTCAGTGCAGCAGAGAGCTGCAGCACCCAGAGCACCCAGCCAATGTGAGGGGGGAAAGGACAGCACCACAATGCGAAAAGAAAGAAATCACTGCATATGCTGGAAGAAGCCTGGGGTACAGCCTGGGATTTCTTCTCTTTCTCTTCTGAGGCCCTGCACATACCAACTGAGGCAACCGTTAAGAAGCCAAGCTATTGTGGGCTCAGGCACAGGGGAAGATGAGAAGGATACTCGCCTGGAAGAGCTCAATGCGCTGCTCGCTGCGTTTGGAGCTCAGGTTGGGCACACGCAGCACCCGAAACTCGGCCCGGAACAAGTTGGTGCTGTTCTTCTCTGCCGAGGACACATTAAAGCGGAACACATTGGAGGTAACACCTTTTGGACAAATGCCCAACTCATCTAGGAGAAAGAAAGATGGAAAGACTGAGAACCACAGGTCAGAGGCGCAGGATGTCAAATAAATGTTGAGAAAGAGCTTTCCAGCAGAGGCCTGTCATTCAAACACCTTGCCACCTGTGAAGCATGGCTATCTAGCTAAAGATAACACAGGATGAATTCACTCATATTTGGTCTACATTGCAACATTTTGCAAAATCTTCCCACTGCTGCCACCGTTATTTCAATGCTACAAGCCAGAGAATCAGTAGAGATCAACCACAGTATTTTTAATATTATCTCTTCTAACTCTGCTCATCAAATGTTGCTAATGCTCCTGAGTCTGCTGCATCCAAAATGACAACCCCAGCCAAGGCAATGGGGCAATCTCATTTGCAACTAGTGGGGCCCATTCCCAATAGTGATGACGGTGTGACTCTGCTCATGCTGGAAACATGAAGCCACATAGGAGGTGATCCCATTGCTGTTGAATCTTAAGTTTTACAAACCATGACATTGTCTCCTAGAATGAAAGCCAGCCAAGTGTCCGCAAAGCATGAGGTGTGGAAGACTTTTTGTGGCAATGACTATTCAGTATGTACTGAAAGAACTGGGTTTTAAGATCAGTTCTCACTCATGACCTGGAGAAGGAATTCATGAGTAGTACTAGATACAGAGTTCTTCAAGGACAGAGTAACAGTGCTGAGAGACCTACGGAGATCAGACACATGGGCAGGAAATAACACAGCAATTCTCTGCCTCGATGTGTGCCTGCTGAGTAGAAAAATCCATTTCACAGACGCCCCAAAAGACAGTAGGTAAAAGCTATGAGGTCCAAACCAGTGTCCTCAACAGAAAACAAGCCTCTCTTTATTGGGACCATTTTGGCCCCACGGAAAAGTCTTTATATTCTCTCCTGTTGACCTCTGTTAACCTTCAAGGCTCTAGCATCATTAAGGCTTCCTGCAGACAAGACATAGCAGCTCCTGCTCTATGCCCACATGCAGGTTTGTTTGCAGCCCTACAGAGCCTCTCATATGACCTCTGACTGTTGTCCAATGCAACACGGGGCTCTCATGTCAGCTGATATTTAAGTCGGTCTTAAACAAAAAAAGAAACAGAAAGAAAAATTATCACCTGTTCCCAGCCACAGTTCCAGCCTGTGACAAATAGCCTAGAAGCCTTAGTTGAAGCAACCTTCAAGTTAGCTTCCTGGAGTCAGCCCCTCTCTTCACAACACCACCACTATCTCCCCAGGGAAACAGCTTCTGAAGATGGGCTAGTGTTAAACGGTGCCTGAGCGCAGAGGTTCACCTCCCATGCCAAATTCTGCTTTGAGCAACACTGATGCACTTCCAGAGTCATCTCCATGAAGATGAAGATCTTCCTCTTGTGCTACACTCAGATTCAGCAAGCAGGAGCCTGTCAGTTTACAAGGATGTATTCTTAAGGTGCTGAAGTTTTACTCAATAAGCTAATGACCAGATGCTCACATTGGACTTTAATTGGAGGGCTTTTTGTTATTTGTACTACTGAATGAACAGCTTTCCCATACAGGAAAGTCTCTGGCTGCTATTGAACAGATGGATGTTCGGTAATCCCAGGAGACCAGACCCCGTTGCAGCCATGAGCTGGTGTGCTCAGCCCAACAACCCTGCAGTGCAAAGAGTACACAGAGCCACATGAGGACACCCACTGTGGGGACTCCACCACTGTGACCAGTCCCAGGTTTTATGCCACAAAAAAGCACAGCAGAAAACCCATGCACTGATCTCATTAAATACCCAAAGGCATCTTCCTGGCTGAAGTCTAACACTGATAACTGTTCCGTGTCCTAGACCTAGGCAGATACTGTGTTTTAATAACCCCTTAAGCTGTTTTGCACTCCTAGCCCTATTAATAATGCTGTTAACAGCCTGCCCTTCCATTTCAGACCTGTCCATGAGGGGTGTCCCAGTAATCATCAGAAATGCCCTTCTAGATCAGACCAGTGGTCAGTCTAGCCCAGTATCTGTTTCCAACAGTAGTGCTTTTTCTGGCAATCTATTTAGAGACTGCAGATCTGGTCCTACAGCACAGTGCAGATGAGAGACAAAATAATTTATTGTTTATCATCTCCTTAAGATTTTTGGCTCAGTTAGGCAGCCATGCTGGTAAGAGATTACTGTATCTACTGTATTTCGCCTGCTGTCCTCACATTGCCTTCTACCTACTTACTTCACCAGCGAGGTGCTGGTGTCTTGGGAGACATTCCTAGTGAAAATAGTAATAGCTATCTTCCCTTCCCTAAGAAGAAGTTTCATGTTCCCTTTGCACCCTGGGAACAAGCCCTCTGTGATGGGAAGATGGAGCTGCATTCTGCATTTCACTGAACACCGTGAGGCTGCACCTGCTTTTCATAGCAGGGTGTCCAGGATACGGTCTCACTCCCAGAAAGCTGACTGCTTTGGGGCAAAGTACTTTTTGCAAGAAGTCACAGGCAAAGGAGGCGAGGTGATTTTTCAGGGAACTTGGTCCAGTCCCAGCTCAGGTGTGTTAATCACACTGGAATCCGGACGTGTCCACCTACCAGCACGGAACAAAGCCTGCAGGCAATACTCCTGCAAGCTCTTCCAGTCCACAGCACTCAGTGGCTGTAACCACGGCTGGAAACGGGGAATCTGTGACACCCTGTGCACCCATGCCAGTCTATGTCCGACACAACAGGATGTATCCTCACAATCGGACCCTGCTATTACTGTGGAGCCCAGACAGCCCAGAGCTGTGGACTGCACAAACCATGAGACCAGTACCCTCTTAGCGTGGACAATGTGATACAGGGAGCAGGTTCTTTCAGGAGCTTCCCTCTTCCTACCACTGCCTCAGTGAGGTGCAGGTCCTCCACGTGCTGCCGATCCTACACAGCTGCTGTTTCTGGCAAGCCCCAAGAAGGCTGATGGCTGTGCAATTAAGAGTTTGATGTCAAGGAAGGGAAGGCTGTCTGTGAGCAGGTATTGACTCACTCCATATTATACCACTGGTACTTCAAGGTGTTTCATGCCAAAGCTGCGTAACTTTGGAGAAAAATTGATCCTTCTGGAACTCTGCAAGTGGCAGCTTTGGAGGGAAGAGGTGCTTGGCCCCAGTGACCCATGGCTTTAATTGCCTCGTCTTTCAAGCTGGCTTGGAAAATGGCATCTGTTTTTCCTCAGGGGTAAGCAAAGCCATTTGCAGGACCGTTGCAGATGCCCTCTGAGCTTGAATCTAATCAAGGGGGTCCAAATGCCCACGAGTTTTAGGAGATCCCTGAAGTGAATGGCTGGTCAAGAATGAGTTATTTTCTGAAAGAAAGTCCCTTATAATTCAGGCAATGTGCCCGAGAGGCACAGCAGAAAGACCACTCCGTGAATCACCAAACAGCTCAGAGTAGGTATGGGGGACCTGATTCTGAGTATCTTTCCTTCCTAGAAGGATGGGGCTCTCCCTGCTGCTATTTTTGCTCCTCAGCTCTCCTCACTTTTGGGCCTTAAGTCTTTGAGAAGGATGAGTTCTCTGAGCCAACGAGCCGCTTGACTAATAGTTTGGAGCTAGAACAGTTCGTGTGCTTGTGCACACATTTCAGACTCGTCTGCATCATCCTTACAGTTCCCTCAATGGAGCAGTCCTCCCCTTCCCCCCCAGAGGAGACTGGCTTTGGCTCAGAGCGTGCTCTGAGATCACCACCTGGCACAGTGACAGAGTCATGGGAAAGTTGAACATCAGCCACTTCTGAAGACACGGGGCCAAATTCAGCCATGGTGTAAGCGATGAAACTCCCCAGGTTTCAAAAGGAGCGCGTCTCTTGACACCATGGCCTGTCTGGAGCTAGTCTCTCCCAGTGTGACCCAATGCCAAAGTTCCCTCTTTTTCTAGGTGGTGGCATCTACACTGCCCACTCCCAGGAATTCAATCTCAGCACTACTTGGTCTTTTGAACCCACTGCTCAGCACCTTGCCCCAGTGCCCTATGGTGACATGGGACAGGTTCATTCATTTCCATAAGAATTTTCCCCAACCCACAGTCCCTCCTCACTGCTCCTTCTTGTGCACCACATCTTCATTCCTCTTTCCCCTCTACTTTACCCAAATCCACTCCTCTGACTTCATTTCCCGCTGTTGTGCTTTCCCAGTTTCCTTCCCCAAAACACACCAGTTCATAGTGTGGCTGTACTATTTTGCACAGACACTTGGTTTCCCCATACATTTTTAGAATTTCACAAATGACACTTTGGTAGGTCAAAAATGTTGAAATACAGGTAAGCTGTTATACCCTGTGCACTTTCTGTTCCTTGAGTCTTGGTGTCTCCTGAGCTAAGAGCTAATCATATAACCATATGGAGTGCAGTCTGTTAGAGATTAAGTGAAATTTGTTGCATTACCACATTGTAGCGCTTATTCCAGCTCATCATATGTCAAGATTAACATAAACCTGGCAGAGTAACTGCATTCTGAGGCTGCCTGTACCAAGTCACAGCGCCTCCCCAGAACTGCTGTCGTTCAAATCGTGTCCCAAAGATCACACTACATCACAGGAGGACGCCCTGGATGGTGATATGACTGCATGCCTACCAACATTTTCCAATCCTAAGGAATCCTAAGCACAGACTGAAAGGACTGCTTGTGCCTACATGTGCTCAGCATCTGTAATCTGCTTGGGGTTCATGTCTGCTCAGTCTCTGCCTTTGCATCTGCATCTGCTCAGCTTCTGCACCTGATTCTGTTTAGTGTCCACATCTGGGCCTGCTCATCATCTGCTCCACACCTGCTCAACATCTGTCATGTTTCCTCAATGCCTATGTTCCCTTGGGGGTCCCCTTCGCATCACTGTCTGCTTTGCACCTGCTCAGCACCCGTTACCTGCTACTCGCTCTCTGAACCCTCACGCTATCCGAGTAACACCCTCGACAGTGTCCTCCAGGCAGCAATCTCTTCAGCAAGTGCCTCTCCACCTCTCCACAGCCAGTGTGGGTGCTGCATAGACCAAGCAGGTTGCCTGTATCTCTGCGG